TTGGAATGGGGAGTCACACAGACACAAACCTGCCAGGGCCACGTTTTCCAGACGCCGGTTAACCTACAGTACCAGCATGTCTTTGGACTGTGGGAGGAAACAGGGGCACCATGAGGGAGACCCGCATAAACGGGGGAGAGCATGCAAACTCCACACAGACAGCACCCCAGGAATTGAACCCAGGGCTCTAGCACGACAAGGCAGAAATAATAACCACGACAGCATCATGCGTCCCTCAACATGACATATTCTATTTAATTGCAGTGACTAGGAGAAGATAACTAGTTGAACCCAATAGAGCACATCACACAACACCAAGGCAGCGCTGAAGTGGTTTCTGGTGTGACGTTAATCCTCAGCGATCAGAATCTGGGATGACACAGTTCTTAATTTAACAATGGTTCACGTATTGTGTTGTTAGCATGTATCACCTAAATAACCACCACTGGGATCATAAGGCTGGTCTCATTGATTCTCATTGATGCAGTTTTGTTACAATTCACCTCTGCTGACTTTCAAAGTTTTTCATCACATTTTTGTTTCTTTATTGAATTTTCATTTGCCGAGGAGGAATATTGTAATATGTCATATTAATAAAGAAATATTTTATGTCGTTCGTGCTGAAGACATCTCAAAGTGCTTTACAGTGGAAGGAAGAAGTCAGAAGTACATAGGTGTAAGGAATATATTGAAACACACAAAGAACAGTATTTCTGTATTAAAAGACAGAAAATGCTAGCCTACAGAAATGTGTTTGAAACGGCTTTTAAAGACAAATAGAGATGAAGATGCTTGTGTATTTATAAACAGAGTGTTCCGCCACCAAGGAGCAATTCTGTGTTAAGCTCTGTTGCACACTGTATAGCGTCTTGTGGAGAGACACTGCACACCAGCACGTATACAGAGCCAGCATTCAAGATGGACTGTAACGAATCATCGCACCTTTGAGCCGGGACGCATTCCGATTGTTACTGTATTTACATTTTGAGGAAGCGAATCCGGCAAGGCTAGAATAAGTGAGATATTCAAATGGAGACTGGCTCTGGGCAGCTGGGTTTTGAAGATGTTGACAGCCCACTTCAGTATGCAGTGTGTCTGCCACAACCTTGGTAGATAAACACTTGAAGCAGCTCAATACCATCTCAGTATAACAGAGCGAGAGTATGAGCAGAGATACAGACTGTAATTGTGAACAGTCTTTCTGTTCCTTCTACCTTTGCTTGTTCTAGCTAATATCCTAATATCAAAGATGAACAATACCAGCTGAGTAAGTAATTGAAATGAGCAAACCCATTGGTTTCAAGCCTCACTTCACTTCAGGTCGTTAATGCTCATGTGTGTAGCAGTAGGGCAGGGTGGTAGCTCTGTGGCTAAGGATCTGTGCCTGTGGCTGGAAGGTTGCTGGTTCGTATCCCGTGGCCGGCAGAGTAATCCTACTCTGTTGGGCCCCTGAGCAAGGCCCTAAACGCCAACTGCTTCAGGGGCACTGTATAAATGGCTGACCCTGTGCTCTGAC